CTGCAATAAACATAGTTGTGCTGGTAGCTTTAGTGTGGTCTTGTTTGTAAACATTTGGGTAAATGCCCAAAAGTGGGATTGCTGGGTCATAGGGGTTGGTGGGAGTGTAAACTTGTTCAACCACTTTGGAAAGCAGTATGGAGGTACCTAATGTTTTATACTTAGACATTTTTACCTCCAAATGATTGGGATGTAATGGGGATGAGTTGAACAAAGCTCAAGAACAGAAAGTTTTCCTTTGAACAAGATAGGAGAGATAGGATAAATACTACCCATGAACAAGTCAATCCAGCTCTGATAGTAGGAAAAAAGTTTTCTGAAAGAAAAAGAATCGGTTTATTTTTTCTGAGATACAATGCCATAACCTTTATGTGAGAACTGATTTGGGTTCAGAATGGAAGACATTATGAGTCTTGTGACACTCTGCTGTATAGAGAAGATTTTATCTTGCTCTCCTAAGCAATGTTTCTACCTCTTTTAGCAATAGCAACTCAGAATTGTCTGATTCCATGTGAAAGTTTGAAGTACATGAAAAACAACAATAATTGAAAGGCTCATGTGGGATATCTAGTCAATAGACACAATTCACTGGAATCCATCCAATTATTTAGAACTTGTTAAAATAGTAAAGCTACATGTTTTGTGGGAAAGCCCTGAGAAACAACTAAAAATCTCTTCAATCAATGCTCAGTAAAGCATCAGAGGACTGAAACATCAGGTAACTTTTAACAAGTAATGTTCACTAAGAGTTACAGATGAATCTCTTCTTCTTACATGTATTTTATTTCCATGGTTAATAACCAATTATCTCCTATAATGTATCCTCAGACACACGACAAGAAGGTTGCAGACTTTGTTACTAGTTAGTTTCTAATAAACTGTTGATGGGTGTTGAGTCATGGATCACAGTGACTCACAAAGAAAATATGTCTAGTTATGAACCATCCCACCCTAAACAAGATACATCCATGTACATCAGCTAAGTAGGGACCAAGAAAGCATCTGCAACGAACCTGAAAGAGTTTATTTCAGAAGAAAAGTTTTCTGTGCACCTGATGAAACATTTCTGCCTATAGTTTAGGGCATTGTGATTACAGAGAACCTCCAGCTTAAGACAGCAATAGTAAAGGTAGAAACTCAAACTGCCAAAGGCCAGGATACAGAGTCTAGAGATATATTGGGTACTAGGCCACATCCAAACCAGAGAGGAAATAGTTAACACTATATTACATAATTTAAAATAGAAGAGTTGATGCTGAATGTTCTCATCACAAGGAAATGCTAGATCTTTCAGATGATGGATAACCTAAGTATACTAAGTTGATCGTAATACATAATATATAAAATATATCAGAACATCACACTGCACCCTGTAAAAATGTGAAACTATTATCTGCCAATAAAGAATAATGTAAAAAGATACAGAGGTTTCTAAATTTGAACAGGGGCCCACATTTGCTTCTTGGGAATTGAACCAAAGGATGATTCAGACCTGCAGACAGGCAGCAGGGCCCAAGAAAAAGAGTCATGAGATACCAGTTTTATTTCTGGCTCTACCCAACAGTGGCCATGTAATTACCAACAGATCTCTTAGTTCCCTTAGCTCTAAACACACACACACACACACACACACACACACACACACACACAAACACACATACTTTTAATGTAGGTATAATTTTCTTGCAAAGAATAAGACTTTAATGTATAAGGTATCTAAAGACATCACACAGATACAAGGCTTCCTTTTTCAATGAAGCAACCTACTTATTTCTGAGATAGTAAAGTGAAGATGCAAGACATTGCCTGATATTAATACTTTAGGTTAAACAACCTGAAGTTAACATTTATGCAAATCAGGCTAAAGGATATCATGGGGGCACTCCTCCTGGTAAATTAAGAGCCCATAACCTAACTCCAATAAGCTTTTCAGCACTTAAAAGGAAAGCAGAAGGAACTCGTAAGTCAGGAGATCTAAAAAATAGGACTACTTTTACTTGGGGACAGGAATCAGAAAACTAATAAGAGCAGGAAAGACACCTTACATACAATAGCCATTTGGGATTAACACTTGTATTTGGTCTCAGGTTCATAAAACTTTTGACTTGCTAAAATAGAGGCTCGTTTCCCTTAAAATAACTCGAATTTTAAAGTAGAATTTAATATGGTGTGACTGTTTAACCAAGTTACACTTTAGCATCAACATTTGCTAGAGTACACCCATTCCCAGATGTTCAAAACTTCTAAAAGTTGGTTGTACTTCATTATGATGACAACTGACATGCAAGATTAATTAATCACACCCAGCAATAAAGTTCCCTCTATTTCACATGAATACAGTTTAGTGTTGCAATTGAGTAACAACTACATGGAGACTAATCAGATACATATTTAATTGTAAGCTTAATAGTTTGAGGGCTCTTGTATTTGTCAAGGGAAGGCTCCGTTCTGATATACTAATACTCGACAAGTTCTCCCCCACCACATAATTACGTTCTAAAAACTAGTCTTTGAGCCACAGCAACGATCTTGGCCATTGTATTCTCTTGTTGTAACTGTGAATTGGGTCATATCTTGTTCCAGACTTCCCAAGAGTGCTTTTATTCCCAAATGAATCTGCCAGATCCAAAAGGAAAAGGTGTGGCCATAAAGATGCATATTTGACCTATTATGAGACTAACTTCCCACTGAGCATGGGAGAAAAGCACCATTCTAATTACAAGATACTTGCAGCACTTTAAAATATCTGGACTCATTTTCTAATTCTTCCAAAATAAAGCTTTAAATGATAGACATTCTATTTATCTGCCTGTCTGTTCCTACCTACCTACCTACTTACCTGTCACAGGCTTAAGGCAGGGCTACGTACTAGGAAGAATTTGAGAGTACTTAGATTACACAAATGAGCAAATGAAAATTGTCCTGATTGTGGAGATTTCCTATTCTAGAGCAAAATAAAGGAACTTTCAGAGATGGAAAATGAAATCAGAGTTCACTCACATCAGCACAACTATAACTGGAGTAAAAGATGGTACTACTTTCCTACTTGAAAGAGCATACAATCTGCAAATTCACCAACATGGGAATCACAGTCCTCTTCATTACCTAGCTCATTGACCCTTGGGCTATCTGAAAAAAAAAAAAAACATACCTCTTCTTCCAGCTTCACCACCTTGGCCTGGGCATTACTCAGTGCCTGGTCTCGGATTTCAATGTGCCGTCTTTGGTCCTCATTTGTAGAACGGGCAGTGGCCAGTTCCACCTCCAGCTTCTCCTTCTCCCGCAGGCTTTCTTTATCTGTCAGAACATGTAGTGTCAATACTGTCATCTTGGAACTGGCTCAAAGATTTAACTGAGCAAAACTGATGAACATATTATTTGATAGCCTACTGTTCTATATACAAACAAATCAGAAGAGGATTTTTTTTCTTTGTATGTTCCTCCCCCACGGTATAACCCTTGTTTTCACTGTATTTGGTGTTGGTGCCCTGCATCTTGTATATACACTTCTCTACTTTGGGGAGGGGAAGGGAAAAAACAAAATGCTTAAATAGAGAACATAAGCTCCTTTCTTCAACTTTATTTATTCAAAATGTCTTTGCACTGGAAAAAAGAGCAATCAAAACCAATAAAAAAAAGTTCCCTATTTTTCCTCATTCTATAAATATATTGGAGAAAGAGAAAAGACCCAACAAAGCAGAGAAAATTAAAGAGTTCTAAAATAATTCATTGCAAAACTCTGTTCTGTTCAGATAAAATCAAGCACTTGATTGAAGTGGTATTTCTTTTATGAGAATATACAATGTGTCAATGTTTGGATGAGATGATATACCAAGATGGTTAAATAAATATAGTCTGAATCTGTTCTAAAAAGTTTAAAAAGGACTTTGACTTTAATACCTGCCCTGCTTTGACTTTGTTGACTTGACCATGGACATTATCCCAAGTACCACCTTTCCTTGGTTTTAATACTGAATAATAGAACCTCTGGTTTCTGATCTGGCAGAAAGACTTTAGAATTTAAATGTCTATCCTAACAACGACCAAAAAGATGAGCTGAAAAATAGACAACTCTACTTAGATTCATCAGCAAAGTGATTTCAGAAGGCAAACCTCTGTACTCAAAATTGGAGAAATAGTCAGGTAGACAGGGAGAATCACAATTTAGGTGATTAGATTCCTATGAACAAAACTAGGAAAACCAGCAACAGGCTTGAACCTGAACTATAATTAATGAATTGTTGGAGGCTCAGTGTGGGCAAGCCTGAGAGATAAGTCCATCCAGTGATGGTAGAACTTCGTGCTTTGCTGAGTTTAGCCTCCAGGAGCTCACAGTGATAATCAGAGAAAAATGGCCCTGTTATCAGCAGGAGGGAGGGAGGATAAAGTAACCATTAAGAAAGATACCACAGCATTCTGTTCTTGACAAGACATGCCCCAAGAGAAACTATTTAACCAGAACCTAAACTTTTGAATTTTTTTCAGCACTTAACTAGTTTGGGGGAAGGGTAATACCCAATTCCAGCCTGTTCAAACCTGTCATGTGGGAAAAAGAAAATTCAAATCTAACCACTGTCTGACCATCCTATACTACCCACTGGGAGGAAAAACTAAGAAATATCGGTGAAACTCACAATTCAGATGCCTAAGACCTCTGAAAGATTGAGACCTAATCATAGTACATGGCTTTCTCCCTTCCTGCCCCACATTATTAGATCACAGACCATACTGCAGAGGTAAACTATGTTCTGAACAAACATACAAGGCAGATATTACTCAAATACCTATATACACAGTTCCGCTTACCCTATACATCATGCCCATAACTCATTAATGACAAAATAAGGCAATGTAAAATACACAATCTGAATAGACAAAGCAAGTATCAGAACCTTAGATGATCAATTCAAAATGATCACAATTAGCATGTTAAGAGTTTTCATTGTAAAAATAGCATGTAAGAACAGATGAGTGAGTAGTATACATAGAGATGTGGAATTTCTAAACAATTTCTTAAAAAACAGAATTTTTAGTGGTGAAAATTATAACTCAGGCACTAATCCTCTTATTTAACACATAATATTTTAAGAACCAAAATAAGATAATAAATTTGCTTAAATAAAAGAAACATTAGAAAATATGATGAAACACTAAAGGAACTTATTATACAAAGGATAATTATCGTTACCATGATTAATGACAACGTACAGCTTCATAAGAAGCCTTTCATTGAAATGTGACAGGTTTTTGTTTGGTGGGGGGTCAGTCGTGGGGCTTAAACTCTGGGCCTGGATGCTGGGTCCCTCAGCTCTTCAGCTGAAGGCTAGCGCTCTACCACTTGAGCCACAGCACCACTTCCAGTTTACTGGTGGTTAATTGGAGATAAAGAGTCTCATGGACTTTCTTACCCGGGCTGGCTTAGAACCATGATCCTCAGATCTCAGCCTCCTGAGCAGCTAGGTTTACAGGCATGAGCCACCAGAGCCCAGCTGTGACAGGTTTTTATACTGATTTTTAGAATGAGAAGGTAACTCTCCAGACCTTTACAAGTAGCAATTCTGTATTTTTAATGTATCAAATATCACATCGCAGCTACAAAGGACCATTGTGTATGTATATCTCATGCCATTCTAGTTTTTTTCCTCTTACTACATAAAACCTCACACTAAAAACTCAAATGGGAAGATGAGTAGTTTGGATATAAGTTTGGAGGTTTAGCACAGAACTTCAAGACCTTAAACCTTACGTTGTAGAAGACCCTTCAATGAGGCAGTTCTGTTTTTCTTCTCACCTTGACTTCATGTACATCTATCTGAACAGATGTATCTTGGAAAGAACTGAACATTTGTTGAATACTTACTATATACCAAGTATTATACTAAGTTAATCCTCAGAACAACCACAAGGCAGTTATAATTTTCTTCTTTATTTTGTGTATAAGAAAACACACATATGACTAAGTTGCATAAGGTCCCACAATTGGTAATTAAGGAGTAGAGTCCATAATTAAATCTGGTTTATACAAAACTTATTCTATTATACTCAACTACATTCTGGGTTGAGTTGCTAGTGTTCTCTGGAATTGCAGAAGCTTACTCTCCAAGAAAGCTTTTCAACAGTTTTATTTTCCTTCTGCCTGAGTTGGGACCTTGCAGGGCCTTGTCATGCTCTCTTCCCCACTTAGTTCTATGACTATTAACAGACCATCTTCACGTAGTTTGATGTAGCAAATCACTACATTTTAAAAGACCGTGATAGAGCTCCTAGGCCACCTGAAATACCCTCAGTACACAGAGAAGAGTAAAAACTAGCAGATTCAAGGAAAGAATCCCTATGTTTTGCTTGGTTCTGGGAAACTGCTACCCTCATTCTGCTTCTGGGGCAACTGCCACACCACAAATGCAACTTTACAACAATTCACCCAAGGCACTGATGACACGAGAAAACAACATTTTTTTACTCTAATCTAAGACTACTGAAAAAGGAGCAGAAGGCTTAGTGCAAACAGGAAGAAAAAAAAATCAGTTCCGGAATGAAAGTACAATACAGAAACCCAGGCAGAGAGGCAAATATTGTAACAGAAGATCAAACAAACTTGTAAAAGCTACCTGAAAGCTGCATGAAATGACTTGAAATGGTCATTGGGCAGCCCAGCAAAAATGGAAGACAAGTCCCTTCCAAGCAAGACTACACAGCAAGAGGCACAGTGAGGAAGGCTGGGGGCAGGGGAAATCAACTTCAGGCATTGGAGAAATGAGAGCAGTTCATCTGTTTCCCCTAACTCATTCTCCCTGTGGACTCAATACACTATGAAGTTTTTATTGCTGCTTTTATTACAGCAATTGGAAAGAATTGGGCATTGTCTAGCTGGGTGGAGTCCATTAGGGACCGATAAAGAAGAGAATTAATTCATTGTTACAGTCCTAGATGTATTTTCAGACAAAAGAAACACTATAATGAAGAAGACATAGCTCTGCTCTGCTTCATACCATGCAACTCTACAATCAGAATCACTAATTCAGGACACAGAAGTGTCCTACCCACCCCACCCTTGCAGTCTGCCAATGCATAATGATATCATATAACTAAGGACTTAACGAAGGCAGCCCTGGCTACAGGTTGGAGATTCCAAACACAAATCAACAGGCTTGTATATTCATCCCATGTCTACCAGAGTATGTAACCAAGTAAGGAAATTCCTTCATTGCTGAGGGAACCCATGTAGACTAATATCTCTTCTTCAGCTAGCCATGATAACAGCAAGAATTCTAAGGGGTTTCTCGGACTTAATACAGAGACAACCATTTGATATAACTAGATGTTGCCACAAGTTGGACCCCTGACCTACGAGGAAAAGAACAGAAGCTTCCAATTTCATGCTTGAATAATGGGAAAAATCTAAATGACATTTATTCTGTTCTGGTTGTCCTTAAAAGCTAAAGAGAACTGTGTAACCTTTTAACATACCTCATTGCCATCAGATATTCATACCAGTTATGGGAGCTTTTAGACTTACTTTTTGCAAAGAGTTGAGAAATGGTTTTCCTTGTGTCCTCTGATCCCTCATACTCTTTTTCTGCAAGCTGCTTGTTGGCAGTCTCTAGACGTTCTGTGGAATTTGGAGACAATCAACAGGGCCTCAAATGAAAACTTCCAAGCACATGATGTTTGCCCTCTAAATACTGACCTTTCACAAAACAAGCCAGTATCTTCTTGTCAAATGAAAGTGAATGACACAAACTTAGATTTACAAATATGAATCTCAAAACAATACTAGAATATGGCAGGGATCAAGGAAGTACTACTTAACATTGTTAGTCCTAAGTACAGAACTTTAAATTTCAACAAAATAATCCACTCCTGACTACATATAAACATACATCACATTAACCAAGGAAAAGAATATCACTATTATTAAGGAGTTGGGGAGGTGAGGAGGGAGGGGATAGTAGGGGAAAAACAAAGTAGGGGGCAACAGTGCTTGATAGGAAATGCACTCATTACCTTAGTCATATAACTGTAACCCCTCTGTACAGTATCTTTACAATAAAATATATTAATATAAAAAAGAAGTTCTTAAAATCATATCATCAAGTTAGGGATCATGGCAGCATCTAGACCAAGCCCTTTGATTTTATAGATAATTAAAATTTTAAATAGAAAATATTCCCAAGGTCAGTGTTGATGATGGCTTAAAGCAGAAATATTTCCCAGATTCTTCAATATCAAGTGAGGACAAACATAAAAAGGGAGAAATAAGGCCTAAAAATAACAGACAGCATTGCTATTTTAAAGCTTGTACAAGCAAAAGGCATACCTGATAGATCTATAAAGGAAGAAATGCTGAACCAAATCATGGGAGTGGACAAGTGGGTTCAAACTTCCCTAGTCATGACTAACTGCCACTTAGATCAGCCATCTTCAAACTATTATTTCATACACACACACACACACACGCACACACACGCACACACACCCACACCCCATCCTGGTATGGGTCTTATAATTTTTCTGACCCTACCAATGGGTTGTACAAACCCAAATAGACTGACTCCTTCCTCAGCCCTTTCTATCACTACTTTGTAACTATCTCAGAAACATAAAGCCAAAAGCTTGGTATGGTGCTCTATGTCTGTAATTTCAGAACACAGGATTTGGAGTAAGAAGACCATGAGTTTGAGGACAGCCTAGTCTATACAAAAGAACTACAAAGTAAAGCCCCTTTGTTCTCTTACCTCTCAGATCCCTATTGAAGTCATGCATTCTCCGAATCTCGCCTTCCAGCTTATTCCTCATGGCTTTCTCCAGAGCTTCTCTTTTAGAGGAAGACTTCACAAGGTTCTCATATGCCTCCGAGACACGCTGGATTTCTGTCTCCACCTTAACATAATAAAGAAAGATGGTGATGATGATGGTAGAATGTTGATGGAGAAGATAGTCTGGAAACATGCAAAATCTCAGTGATACTTTCTGCCAGGGCTTACAAATGGCCAGGCCTCAAGCATAACACAGACAGAAGTAAAGGTTTCAAAGATGACTTTCCAAGTTCAACCACAAGTTCAGCAAAGTAACTCATTATTTCATGAGATTTCTTCCGAAAAGGCTATTGCTATAACTATCCTGCTCTACCTATTTATATAGTTTCCACTTTCAAAGAAAGTGATAAGATAGTATAAACTTCATAAATAGGATTATAAATGATTTCTGAAAACAAATTTATCAACTTTGAAAATGTTAATAACAATGTATATTGTATGCAAAAATTTCAGAGCATTCTAAGAGTTTTCACATGCTCATTTCAAGTTACCCTGACATCTGCCTACGCAATGAAGTGAAAGTAAAATTGCCTTTCCCAAGAGTAAGTTAGAGGCAGAGATAATCCTTAAAAAACTGAAACTTTAGTGTCATGAAGTATAATTTCATTCAATTTAAGGGACATTTAATCAAGAACCCAGTTAAAAACTGGTTAACTGGGGTGTAGAAATATGAATGATTATAGTCACATTATCCTCAAGCTCAAGGAGCTTTGAATATATTCAAATCAAAGAACAGAGGTCAAGATATACCTTTAAGATGGTCCAAATTGTTTATCCAGATCTGTTGACATTGCAAAAGAAGCAGGTAGTAGCATAAGGGAGTGTGATAGAGGAAGGTGAGTTTGATCTGGATACATTGTATGAATGTATGGAAATGACACAATAAACCCCTCCTTTACAATTAATGTATGCTTATAAAAATCATAAAAAGAGCTAATAGTACTATAAATCATCAAGAATGAATAAATGTTATTCATGGTTGGAGAAGGAAAGTAAAATGATTTCAGGGAGAGGTGGCATTTAGAGTCAGATCCTCAATGTTGGGTCAGATTTCAATGGACAGAGGTGAGGAGAAGGATATTCTATTCTGAGTGAGCAAATACATTCCCAGAATGACTAGTAGTCTCATTTTGCTGGACACTGTGGGGTAGGCAGAGGGAAGCTAGAGAAATATGGCAATCAAGATAGATGGAGTCAGATCATTAAAAGGTTTTCATGTGAGGCATGTGAACTTTTTTTAGCTGAAATTCATGATTAGATTTGTGTTTTATGATACTCCTGTAGATCTTGTCAAAAAAAAGATAAAATTTAAGGTAAAAGGTCCTGCTAAAATCAGCTAGAAAACAAGAAATTAGACTCCAGAGTCTCTGTAATCAGTAGAGCTCCACTGCACACATAAAAAACAAAGATTATTTGCATATAATTTGTATAAGACAAATAAACTGTTGGCCTATTAAGCAATTTTCAAATTAAGCTTGACTCCTGCAACCATTCTGCATTTCTTCTCAGTTTTCTACTATCATGTTTACACAAAGCTCAGGGTGCTTTGTGGGGAGAAATACCAGGTACCCAGTGAGAAATTGGAGAGAAAGGTAAGGTTACCAAACAACTCAGGTTCAGCCTGTCCCCATCTCCAAAATCCTGCCAGTGCCTTCAAACAAATAAGTCTTATATCACTGACAAAAGCAGACTTGAAATGTTTTGCTCCTTGCATATGGCACCATAATAGCAGCACAAAGGTGAAAATTGGTGAATGACCTTTAGAGCCAGATCTATCATGCCTGTGCCTGATGAAGCTTTGGCATAAAATTCAAGTACTAGGTGGAGAAAAAAAATATTTTCATTTCAAAAAGTAAGCATGATGCTCATTGCTCTACATAGTCTTGAGAGAATGACGAAGGCTTCCCACTTCCTTGTGTCCTAGTTCTTCACACATGCCACATCTGGAAGACAGTTCCTTTACCAAGGTACTCAGACTACTACACCAAGACCTGGTACTCATTTCTCTCTATCTTTGTGAAGATACTATCCCTTTCAGAAGGGCAGGGCAGGGGCTGGGGGTTTAGCCCAGCGGAAGGGCGCCCGCCTGGCGTGCGCAAGGCCCTGGGTTCGGTTCTCAGTCCTGGAAAAAAAAAAAGAAGGGCAGGGCAAGCCACACATGAATCAATATGGTGTTCCAGGAAAAAAAAAAAACTCGTAGGGTGACAGAACCACTAGCTTGGCCTGGGAAATTGCAGGGCAGGGTGGGTAGGGGGGGATGACAATGACTTCTAGACTTACATTGTTTACTTATTACCATCATGAACATCAGGTACTGTAATATATTTCGAGAACCATCTGGTGTCTACCTTATGCTCCCACTTTCTTTTTCCTCTTTACCATTACCTGTACTTGCCTTCCACTTCAGAGTTGGCCCAGATTCCCATTTCTCCTGACACTTACACAGTGCCAATGGTACTTATTTGTATCAACTTTCCACATCCAGCAAACAAAAAACAATGAAAAGCTATTCTTATCCTCTTCCTTGTCTCCCACTCTAGTCCCTAAAATGACCAAATAGATTCTTTGGTAAAGAGCCATCATTAATTACATCAAAGATGGGGCCAAGGTAACCTTGAACTAAGACTGTAGAGAAGGATGTTAACTATATAAATCTAGTCACCCATACATTTCTTGTACATGTGGATAGAATTTCTTGTGCCAATATAATATGGGACAATGGTAGAGTTAAATTCAGAAGAACAAAAAGAAACCACTCTTTTTGCACCCCTTCCCCATAGCTTCCATCTAGATATGAAAAAAATGAGAAGATGAAGTTTTGCCACATAGAACTACTTTGCTGATTACAAGCCTTTTTCTACTTTAGGGCACAGATCTGGTACTGGCAAATTCAAAGCATCATTTAGGCCCATGAAATTGCCACCTCTGGTGTCCTGTAATGACTGTGCTCTTGACTAATGCAAAGGCAATTGCCCTTCTCTCCTCCATCTTCAGAGTCTTACCTCTTTCAACAGTGCACATTGCAGGGAGATCATGCCACTCCATAATGACAAAGCTATAAAAAAAAAAAGCTGCCAAAGACAAAGCCTCTTTTCACCAACAGTCACTAGAGGCGAAGACCTAAAGTTCCTAGCTTGGGGCATGTAAGGGTTAAATTCCCAGCTGCAGAAGACAAGAGGGGGCCAGGAAGAATGTGAACTGGGGACACACACTCTTTTTTCTATTTCCTTAGCTTAGGGCCGTCACCTGTCACCCAGCTGTGGTGCTAAGTCCTTCTTGACCCCCCACACACAGTAGAAAAAAAAGACAGCAGATGTTAAATTGAAGCTATGGAGAAGGACCAAAGCAAAAGGAGGGAGGAGGTCCTGTGTTGAAAAAGCATACCAAGAACTCCCACTAGGAAGTGTTCACTGAACCCTTTCCTAAACAAGGCAGGCCAGGCACCAACTTCAACTGGGGAAATTTTTCTAGAAATTATGAACTATGGTTTTATATTTAAATGGGGGAAAACAGAATCAATACCTAAGTGTTTCAAATGCTGCCAAGTTCTCCCAAGACATAGATTCACCAGTATGAAGAAGTACCATTGCTGCTTTTGAAAACTGTAGAACAATCAGTTATATCTTGTTTGGGGAAAAGGGTTCTGAAGAAGCTATGTAATTTTTCCTTCTAATATAATTATAAAATATAATTTTCCTATAGACAGAGGCTTGTTTCAAAGTTGGACCCCATTAGATATCAAATCTCCTCAACCCTCTAAGTAATGTAGGAATATTAAGTTCTACTAATTTATAAAATTTAAAGGAGTCTCTTAATGTCCCACAATGGGAGCCTCACCTTCTGCAGTCTTGCCACCTTCTCATAGCATCCTTCCAACTCCTGCCTTAAGTTCCGGTTTTCATCTGAGAGGATCTCAACCATCTGCTGAGCTCGTGAGACAATGGCAAAAGGGTCAGCTGGCATAGGCTGATAGGAAGCAGACTGCTGAGCCCGAGGCATGGCTGAGTAGGCTTCTCCTGGCTGTTGCTGCTGCTGTGCTGAAGTCAGGCCTGGCTGGGAGAGACGGTAATGATCCCCCTGGTGAGCCTGACTAGAAAGAAAATGCTGCTGTGACCTAGGTAGGTGAGCTGAGTGGTCACCTTGGTTTGGAACCAAGGGGTGTTGGGCAGGAGACAATCTAGTAGATGGAGGAGACTGCAGCAAGGGCAAGGAACTCCCAGATGTCAGAGAAGAAGTAGGGCTGTGAGGCTGAGAGTTCCTGGCTGACAATGACAACGAGATGTCCTGTGTTGGCCTGAAAAACACAAAGGGCAAACTTTGGTTAAGTTCTCTCCTGAGGCCCAAGAATGTTACATGAGGAAGCACCACGAGGCCACCTGAAAAATGAGGAATAGACAAGAGTTAGACATTCCCAGCCCAACTTTTTATGACTCTGCTTGACAAACAGACATGTGATCTCTTGGCTCATAGAACCAGATGATCCCTGAGATCACTTGGTAAAAATCTAAAAGATGTATGTATGTCTGTATACTCATTGCTTAGGCATTCTCAAAGATTCCTTGACAAAGTGATTTTCACTTCATTGCTTTAAGTAAATCTGTTAGAAATAACATTTTATATGCTGTCCAGCATACATAAATATTCAAATTCAACAAACCATCAAAAACCACCCTACAGCTGGGTGCCTGTGGCTCACGCGTGTTATCCTAGCTACTCAGGTGGCTGAGATCTGAGGATCACAGTTCAAATCCAGTCCTGGACAGGAACATTCGTGAGACTCTTATGTTCAGTTAACTACCAGAGTAACCAGAAGTGGCACTGTGGCTCAGGTGTTAGAGTGCTCAGCTTGAGCTGAAGTGCCCAGGCCCAGAGTTCAAGCCTTGCAACCGACCAAACCAACAACAACAACAAAAAAAACCCACTATCTTCCTATCTGCAACTACCTGTGAAAATTCATACATTCATAAAAAATGTAGTTGAAGAAGAGGTTCTATTTTCCATTCTATGGGCCTTCAAAGGTATACACCTGACATCAAATACTTATTATTTTTAGTAAATATTTTGTGGTTATTGATCTTTTTATGAAGCCCATTAGTAGTAATAATATTACAATTTGGAAACGCATACTATTCTTCTTGTTCTAAATTGTAAAATATAAGGACTGACAAAGCCTTTAAAACTTATTTATTCAAATTCTATCATTGGACAGGGGGAAAATAAGACCTAGAACAAGTAACCAATCTTCTAAGTATTAGATAGAGAGAATTAGTAATGGTTTCCCAGTTGCCATTTTCTAGCCTTTTGAGATACAATGCAGTGATTTCTGTATGTTGAATCTTAGATCTTCAACCTACCGTTGACAAAGTTCCACCATGACCACTACCACGAATAACTATCTATGATTATTGAAGACAAAAAGCTTGTTCATCCCCTCCAGCCAATGCCCAGCTAACCTCATTTGCTCTCATATCCTGTGGATGCTTGTCCTGCAGTTGACACTTTTCAATCCAATGAGGACAGATGGCTAAGAGTATGGATTTGGATCCTGACGGGGAGAGTTTAGAGACTTTTTCTACTGTTCACTAGTTGTTCAACCTTGTTCAAATTACTTAATCTGCATGAGCCTATTTCCTGAGGATACACATAAACTAAAAATACTAGGTTCTTCACATTTTTTAGTTCAATAGTAATTTTGACTCTTACTAGTGATAGTTTGACCTTGTTAGCATTTTACTTATGTGTTATTCTTTATGCTAATTTGCTTAAAATTCATGGTGGAACTAGGACAAATTACCAGGACCAATTAACTTTTTAAATGGCATTCCAGATGCTAAAACACATCCCTTCCCCATGTACTCCAAATACCATTGTAGATCATTTTTTTCTCCACAAGAGCTCCTGACTATTAAGGGCTTTTTATAGCTACAAAATGATTCCAAACACTTGCTATGGGCACTCTATAACCTAGATGGTCACAAAATTATTGATCCTGCTCATACCTTCAGTTTTGTTCCTTGGCCCCTGTTTGCTTCCATTGTACCTGAATTCTCCCAACTTCATGTCACTAAAATAATTGCTGAATTTTGGAGAAGACATGAAGGCTACTTGAGTATAGAAGAATTGACATGATTATAACTGGAAACTTTCTGCCATGCCTAATCTTTCTTTCCAAGAGCTCAAAACACTCAGTCCTCTTAAAAGCCTGGGGACTGTTTATAAATGTAGTTGAAGAATAGGTCCCATTTTCCATTCTATGGGCCTTCAATTTTCTCAGATTTAAAATGGACTCTGTGCTCTGTTCTCTTGAAGTAAGAGCTATTATAATTTTATAGGTATCCCTAGAGTTCAAATATAATGTGCTGGGATTTGCTAGAGGTTTTGCATCTCCTAAGTAGAAACTGAGGGCTTAAATTTCATGTTGCTTGATCTGCTTTGAAAATTTAAGAAAAATTACTGTATTAACTTTCATCCTTATTCTCAGAATTTGAAAAGCAAATGCTTGGGAAGTATTCACTTTTAAAGACTAAAGACCCATTTCTGGACTGGGCTTCTACTCAGCTCCCCTGGATCCCACAGAGAAAACCAAGACTTTTTCTTAGACTCAGCCACTGGTCTTCCTCCTGCCTGGAGGCTGAAAGACCTTTCCAGGCCCTGGACAGTATACAGCCTCCTAGGAGCGTAGGAAAGGAGGAGACTACAAGGTTTCCTGGATGAGTGGTTCTAGATTAGATAAGCCCAGTATGAAGATAATCAGAGATGAGGCAGATGCAGCCCTTCTCAGTTCCCCAAGCTGGAAAAGGAAGTATATCTCAATGCACTGTGCTGTTGCAAAAACCAAGGAAGTTCATCACTGGCAGGTTTGCAAACAAGCAAAGCCTTTGGCAGTCACAAAAGAAAAGCTCTCCAGCAAAGAATTCCATCTGGGCTTCAGCATCCACCCACTATCAGTTGGAAACAGGACAGTCTTAATGGTATAATGAATTCCCCTCTGAGAAAAGGGGGCTGAAGAAATAGAGAGAGAATTCTAGAGGATGTCAGAGGAAGTAAAAATACACTCAAGAATTAAAAAATAATAACAGAAAGAGAAATGGCAGTAAAAATAAAAGTAGTAGCCACTTGAGCAGCACACTCTTCAGGTCCTTCCATAACACAGCAGCTGGAAATGATCCCCACTGACACATTATAACCAAGAACAAGCCACCCAGCAGACAAAAGAACCACAGAATCATAAGATATCAGGGAAGATCTGATCTGCTTCCTCATATACTTCCCCACCCTGCAACCTGCTCCTTACTAAGACTACCTGGGCCACTGCCCTGGTGTTCTGTAGAAAATAAGGAAATAGACATTAATACAAGACAGAGATCACTGGGAAAAATCAATGTCCTTAAAGCCAAGGGAGTTAGAGTGTGTGGGGGATGGGTTGGGGAAACAATCTTCTAGAGACAGCTGGTAAAGACAAAGAGAAAGTCAAATCCACTCAACCCAGCTGACACAGCACCTTCTATCCTGCTACCACCTCCTTGCCTGGGAGCCTTCACACCTCCACTCCCAGACACACAGAGAAAACACATACACACACATACACAGCTTTCCACATGTATGAAACACTGCCCCCCCCCACAGACACATTCTCATTAAAGCAAGTACCATTAACAGCCCAAAGCCAAGTTCTCACCACTAAAAAAAAAAAAACGGTGCCTGTTCCAGGCTCTGAGTTGGTGAATCTGTGAATCCTGGAGAGGACTGCAAATTCTGGATGGTTCGTCTTGCACAACCAGCTCTGCTCTGAACCACAAACTTAGGTCACCCTGAGATTCCACTCAACAAGGATTTCAAGAAACCTCAGATCTGGGCATGATTTCAACAACTGAAAAGAGGTGGCTGCTTTATAAACAGAAATGACTTAATTTTTTAAAGCAGTTGATAAATATATAAACCACAATCCACAAAAGCCTTACCACTTAGACAAAGAATCAAAAAGTTAAAAATTCTTCAAATGGCTTGGCCTTGTTTTTCATCTGGAGCTCCACACATTCAAGATATTTTTTTAAGTAGGAAGGAGGACATAGGGAAGATGAAGTAATCAAAGGATTGTTTATAACATTTTGTTCATTTTAAGAGCAAACCTCCAGCATTGCACGCTTAAAGGCAAACAAGGTTTTATTTTAAATTATCAGTTCAAAAAGTTTGTTTTGCATACAGATCTCCAATTTGTAGTTTAAGAATTTAGCCTTTGAATTCTTTTCTGCTAGCAGTAGTTACTTGCAAAGGTATTCACAAACCAAGGTGTATAGTTAATCTGTTAAAGAAAAGAAAGGAAAACTGTGTCACCACCTAAAAGTAGTATACTTCTGGAAAGCTGTTCAACTACCACCTCTGGCCAGGAATCTGTCAATAGGTACCACTCCCTCATACAGTATATGCAAAAGAACTTACAACCATTAGTTGCTTGATTTAGACCAAAATTTCAAGCCAACTATACACAGATTTGGGCTGTTTTATTATTCACTAAGCATACCAATCACACAGCTACTGTCCCATAAAAAAAGAACTATTAGATCATACTGAACAAGGGCTGGGGATTTAGTGTACTGGTAGAGTACTTGCTTAGCATGCTTGAGGCCCTTGATTAGATTCTCAGCACCTTTAAAAAAAGGACAGGTCAGCATAGTTTCTGTCACTTCAGGGGACAGAAGAGTGATAATCTAAAAATCCAAATAATCTAAATAATAATCTATAAAAGAAGAATAATTATAATACCTTCCTAGAAAAAAATATATATGTAAACTAAATTTCTCTGGTGACTTAATCAGTATGGGAAGAAAAAGAAAAGCTCTTTGTCTCATTATTTATTTAGGCAGATCAAAGGGCTTTTCCATCTAGCTTCAAACACTGTGGGAGTCATTTCAGATCTCAAACAATACTGGTGAATGAGTTCTGAAAATAGCTTTCCTGGGAAGGCGGGCCATATGCTGAGCCAGGCTTTGGCTTCTGCTCCACATCTCAGCCAACACATGCCCCTCCCACAAGGCAACAAACCATAAGCCCATCCCAGTATGAGAGGGAGTCCCACAGACTCTTCCATACTGATCTGAAAAGCAAAACAAAATCCCCCAGATTCTTTGATATTTTTCTGGCTTGAATGAGTTTCCTCTGAAGTTTTCAGTCCAACAGAGCACTCCCTCCCTGTGTCTTCCGTTTCTTTGGGCAGATGGGAATGGAGTTCTTGCTCTAGTTTAAATATGAATGGCCTCTCTGCTTATGTCATTTCCTGTTCTAACACACTTATCACAACTTAGGGCTTGGGCCCTTTGAAAGCTGCCTTTAAAGGGTTAGAAGATCAACATGGTTAAGCAAGAAAAAAAATCCTAGATCAGCAAAGTTAGAGGAGGAGCCCAAAGTCAATTGCCTCTGGTTAAAAAACAGGATCTGTATCTGGAAGAATGAATTATCAGGATATGTCAGGTGACTTCTCTGACTTCTACCCTACTCTACCCCAAGTGATTTCAAACCAAGACCTTCTATCCCAAAAGAGTAAGGAGAGGAGATGGACATCAAAGAGATCATAGACCTATTCCATGGATCACCTAGGCCTTCAAATATTATGGCTAACAATCATTACCCTTGCAGAGAGCACAAACAACATCCATAACTGCCATCACTGCCCATGGTTTAAGCCTTTTGCCCCATGATGTGAACTATATTGACCAAACTCTACAGAAGACAAAGCAGTCTAGACTATAAGAACCTCAAGAAAAACAAGGTGAGTCATATTCTGAACCTACCCATGTACATAATTCCCCCATAGTATATGGCTATTTAATGTACAAAAGAATCACAATATCTGAAAAAGCACAACTAATTGAAACAGATTTGTTTGTAAAAGTAAGTGATAAGATATGTATGGAGGGGAATGCTTGGAAGTAATGGGATGCTACAAACTAAAATCTAAGATAAATTTGTTACTGCTTCCCAAGAAAATGTTTAATAACTCAGATGAGAAACATTCACCTTTCTTTCAATATCCTAGGAGAAAAGAGCCAGTAGCTGCTAAAATCAAGACTGCCTTTACACTTCTAGGTAGTCGAGGCCATGTCCAACCTAGAAAGTCAAGGGAATGTTTAATAGAGTGCTAACTATGGCTGATGACACTAGAAATTAAGAGTGACAAGCAATTTGCTCAGCTGAGTGGGAGCCATGCATTGCAGAGTTTGTTATACCATACACCTGCTCATTCCTTCCCTTAAGATTCCCAACACACAGCGTCAGAAGCTGGTTGGGGATGAAGTCAGGAAATGACAGAAAGAGAACTATCTTACCTGGCTGCCCCATACTCAGGGGGGTGCTGATACCTCATCAGTTGCCCCTCTGTTCTCCCTGGCTGGTTCAGGCGGTGCTCACTATAGAAGTGCCCTGGCTCTTGGGGCTTGCACACTACAGACTGGGATGGCATGCCCTTGAAAGGATACTCTGGTGGGGGCCCACGGTGTTCCATGCCCTTCAGGCTATGCTGGTTGGGAGGTAGCCCTTGGGACTTGTAGAATTCACTGGCACTTGTAGGATTCTTGTAGAGGTCATTGGGTTGTGGTGGGGAGAGGGGAGTGCTGGTAACAGGAGGATGGGCTTTAACTCCACTGGTGGCTAGTGACATCTGCATTAAGCGTTCACTCAGGGAGCGGACATGCCCTTGCTTAAGGTCTCTTAGTCCTTCATCCTGATGCATCTTTCCAGGATTGAGCCGCTGAACAGATGGGCGTCCTTCGGTCCTCATCTTCTGGTTAGTGACCCCAGTGACATAGAAGGCAGCTCCAACACTGGCATGCTGTTGGCCACGAAAATACTGAGACTGCACCTTGGCTTCTTCATAGGTCGGGAGTTCTTCATTATTCTGCATTCTAGAGGACAGCTGTTTCTCCATGATAAGATTTTCTGATTGGATTTCCTGGCCCTGGGGTTCCTGTCGAGCAGGGTGTGCCACAAGCTGTTGGTGATGGTCTTGGGGACTCAACACATCATTCTGAGGGCTTTGGTTCCCATTGCCAGTGGAGAAATGAGGGGCGTTCCCTGTGGCTTGCTGGTGTATGGCAAGCAGATTGCGATTCTCACTAGGATTGCCATAGCGCAGTTGCTCTTGTAGCAAACGCTGCAATACTGTGGTTCCTCCACTTGGCTGTTCATCAGAATTTCTCATCTCTGTCGCAGGTGGTGCCTTGTGAAGAGAGAGAGAAACTGGGCACTTGGGCTGCCCTTGACCTGGGAAGGGGAAACAGGAAGCTTAACACCCACGTTGATGGATAAATCAATCCTCTTAAAGGGATAAATATAACTGTTTTGGAGGGACTTTTCTACTGCAGAAACAGAGTATTGAACTTGAAAAGTAATCAATCAATTGCTGGGATTACTGCCTGTAATACCAATACAGTGAGGAACTTGGGGTTGTAGAGCTTTTTCCTCTCATTTTTAGTAGGAGTTAAATATCCAGTCATGACTTAGTTCCTCCTTAGGAGGACTGAGGACACCTGGAATGGTCAAATAACATGATCAGAATAGGTTAATTTTCCAAGGTCCTTATATACAAGGTTCATTTCTAGGCACAATTTAGACTAAAACATCCCAGTCTTGTGGCTATGTGGGAAGAAGAGGCAATTGGGGAAAGTTACTCTATAAGCAGTATTTGTAAAGGAGTTTAGCATTTGATGGAGGAGAGCTTAGTTTACACCAAATAGAAATAATCCTTGCATAGATGCAAATGCTTGTCTCAGATTTCATAGATTATAAGATGTATCTTTTGTATTAAAAAGAAAGATTTTCTTTCAAAGTCCATTTTTGATGCTCCATGGCGTAATACAAGAATAGCTTGGGTCAGAGAGTAGTTGCAAATATTCCTTTAGTCATCAAAGCCATGAAAGTACTTTATTGTTATTATCAGGTAGGAGGGCCATAAAGAAACACCACTTTCAAGTGAAGTGTGCCTCTGAGGACATTAAGAATTTGAAAAATAAAAAGGTCATCCTTTCAAAGTTTAATCAAACTATGGTGTGCTAGTAACCTAAACAAGTAATTCCTCTTTCCTAGACTAATATTTTCTTTTCTGAAAAAATGAATGGTAGGCGATAATGTACTTCCTTTCCTATCAGTGATATATAATACATACATAGTACATTCATTGGCAACAAAAATTCTTTGTAATCTGCCATGGAAAGTACTGAAATTCAATACTAATATTACATTCTGAAAACTTTCACTCTAAGAAGCTGAAGTAATTTGGTAAGAATGGATATGATATCATAGAAAGTCAATGAAGGTCAACCTAACCAGCCCCAGGTTTCTAGATGAAAACCCTAGAATCCTCAATCACTTCCAACAAATACTTAGTTCTATATTAATTCGTCTCCAAACTCTCTGGAAATACAAACCAATCTCCTTAGTGGTACAGAGTATAACCCAGAATACATGGAGGTGATCATCTTCTTCAGTTTACAATTGTTTTATTGAACAGTTTGGTCCCTCAACCTTCAACTAGTGTTTTGCTATTTATTTATTTAGATTTGTTCATTTACTTATTTATTTAGCAGTACTCAGGATGCAACCAAGGCTTCACACAAGCTAGGTAGGCATACCAAAATACCCCTATTCTTTTGAGTAGTATATGCCAAGCACTAGTAGGCTGAGCAACTCGATCTGTAGTCCCTTTTTCCCTTCCCTTATCCTTCATCCCTAATGATACCCTGATGTTTCTGTACTTGAATTCCCAAATTGGGGCTTTGTGATAGACTAGCAAGCATAACATGCAACTCTTGATGCCTAGCACTTAAGAGGTGACTATGACACTATTTTTCTTCTAACCAAAACCCCCTTCCAACCTTCAGCTGCAAGGCAGAGAAATGTAGACAATGAGTTGCCCTAGATCCAGAAGGGGATGCCACCCCCTCCCGTGCCAAACCCACCCCATCCAGCACGCACATAGGGCACTCAGGTGGGCAAACACACAGGTTTGTACACACACACATGCACATGCACACACAGACACTGATGATCCATACCTATTTCTGCTTTCTTTTAGGCTTAAAGCCTTGATCAGGATAGGGAATTCTTGCTTATGAACAGCTCCAGAAACCGCAGCAGCAGATTCCCTCTCCCCTAACACTCAGGTTCAGGGTAAGCACCGCCAAGAGTCCAATCACTGGTCACTCTGAAATGTTCAGGAGGGGGAGGGAAGGAGAAATAAAAACGTCGTTTCTATGTTGCCACCAACAGCCAGCAGTTAACTAAACCACTCCTTCCAATGGAATGAATGATTGTCTCGTGATGCTTGGCTTTTAAGTGAGTGGCAGAGTCCATCTCCACTAGGGCTGGAAAGATACCTCACTATCCTGCAGCTGTGTTCAGGAGGTCATGTCAGATTCCAGGTGACGAAAAAGCTGAGCTCTCACACTGGAAAGGATCTTTCTGTCCTAGCCTCAGGACTCAGGAAAACCATCTCTGTAAGAATACTGGGTGATGACAAAAACTGTACCTACTGTTACCTTAGGGTACAACCACAAATTGCTGTTGGTTGTGGGGCAAGTTCATAAGGCTTACCAACCCACATTCCACAAAGGGTAGCAGTCATCATAAGGTAGGTTTTTGGTCAAAGGGAAAGCATTGCCAAACTCCCAATTTGACTGCCTCAGCCCCAAATGGGCAGAAGAAAAACAAAACTTCAGCCAGGTCATTAAGTATTTATTGCATATTGACTATTCCACACACATTTGTCAGCCTCATTCTAGACATAATGAGGAATATAGAGATACACAAGATACACTTCCTGCCCTCATGGGGCTTACAATCTCTTAAACTGATTAATGGCCCATTCATTCTTGGTGGAGTAGGAAAATTGACTGCCCTTCTCAATCCAACCAGCAACTCTTTTCCAAACAGAAGATGTTTAATTTGCTTTCTCAGCTCTTCCTTGGCCCCAGGGTTTGAGCAAAAGGAATCTACAAGATTTTTATTTATGAAGATTAGGTGTAAATGCCCCACAGAATATAGATTTGAGACAATCTTCATATACAATTTCTACTTTGAATCACTGAAAAGCCCTCTAGGTCCAACTAAATTGTTATAAAATGTGGAAGTTTGTGTTTTAGGTAGATGCACATGAATCGTGTCCTGGCCAAGCCTTGACTCATAAATACCATGTAAAGGAAAGGATGTCATCCACACCAGAGTTTCCATCAGAGGATCAAGGCAATGCAAAGGAAGCACAAGAGCACTTTTATATTTGGGGAGCTTGCCCACATTTTTCAAGTTAAAATAAATCTACAAAACCACACAGTGATCAATTTAACATTATTTCCTTATAATCTTGTCAAAAATAATGTGAGAAGATATTTTAACAAGCCCAGGAATCTTGTCTTTCCAATTTATTTTGACTAATTGATAAGCATGATCAAGAGCAAAATTGCCTCTGATCTGCAAGGTGATTATTTTAGGGGTCCCTCCTCTAATTTCAAAGTAAAGGAATAACTTCATATTGTAATCAAAGCTGAATTATAAACAAAGCTATGGTCAATAACTACTGTCCTATTGCCCACTTCTGAACAGAACATTTGTTTTTTAACCGAAACACCAGAAAATACCCACGGCTTAAAAATTGGAGCCCTGGAGAGAAACCAATGCACAATACTTTTCCAGAACTATTTAGATTCTCCATGATAATTGTGACTATCTTTTTTCTGACAACCAGACTGGGAAAACTCAACTTGTCCCAAGTCTCATTATCTATACTTAATTTTTGTCTGTTCTCCACATCCTTTTCAAAACTCAATTCACGTTATGTCATCTAAATAGACAATTCTCCCATACCCATTCCAGGCCATTTTTGGTTTCTATTTCACAGGAGAAAATAAATCAGACCAAGATAAACCTTTGCAAAGTACTGTCCAGTTTGTTGCTATTTTTCTTAAAATATTTTATGTTAATGTACATGTGAGGAGTCACATAAGAAGGAAAACATTACTCGATTTATTTACTAGAGAAAGGTAAAGATTCGTGTCATACACAAGAACTAAAATAGAATGAATTCTGCAACTTTTAATCTGTTCACAGCTTTAATATCATGCCACTTCCAGGGATCTGACATCATCTTCAAGCAATAAAATAACCCTGTTGCGCCTGTCCAAACACGCTTTCCTTTAGGAAGTTTGATAAGAACAGAAAGGATATCTGTAGTTCTACTTTAAAAGAACAAATATTAATCTATCTATTCAGCTCTTCTATGACAAGATGACAGCAAAGCAAAGCTAAATTCTTACTCCATTACTGGCCAGTCCCAGTATACCTGAGAGGTTAAGCCAAACACATTAGTGAGCAACTAGCTGGGTCCCAAGTCAAGTCCCCCAAAAGTCAACATTACAAGATGGCCAGGAAAAATCAAATTTCCACTCTTCAAACAAATTTTGTAATATGCTTATTAGATCTTTATGTATGTTCCTCCTATTTTGCCTCAACATTTAGAAAATTTTAAATTAGATCTATTGAATCTTAGACAATTTGTTGCATACAATTTTATGCCCAGAAAATAAGATACAGCTACTTTAACATTTTTTATTGTAGCCAAGTGTCAGTGGCTCATGCCTGTAATCCTAACTACTCAGGAGGCTAAGATCTTAGGATCATGGTTTAAAGCCAGGATGGGCATTCTGAGACTCATTTCTAAGTAACTACCAAAAAAGTCAGAAGTGAAGCTGTAGCTTAAGTGATAGAGTGCTAGCCTGAGCAAAAGAACTTGGGCCGGGAGTTGAAGCCTCAGAACCTGCACACAAAAAAGAATTTCGTTGCAACCATGCCCATGTATTTGTATATAACCTCTCTCTCACTTCCTCTCTCTCTCTCTCTTTCTCTCTCTCTCTCTCTCCGCTCTCTCTTTTTTTCTCTCTCTCTCTCAGGCATACTTTTTCTTACAAACACCAAAAAAACGTGGAAAGGGCCCAGTGAATTCTCATACTCAGGTTTGTCCATATTGTGGATTAAGGTGTCCTAGACAGTACCATTTACAGAAAACTTGCAACCCAGGATACACATACACTTCCTTTGGGTGACATACAATACATTCTTATACATGTTTCTCTAAACTTTCTATGAATAATAGGGTTAAAAGGCCTGGAGTCACTTTCCAGATGCTCAAGTCCTGTATCTATGGCCTATTAACTGGCCTTATACAAGTCTCTTATGATTTTTAAAGAGATTAAGAAGACATATTCCATGTAAAGTGCTAAGTATATAGCTTAGTCCATGGTAAGAGGTCAATAAAATTTAGCTATTCTTATAATTATTATTTCAAAATAGTATTTTCTCTAAGATGTAGAGGCAATTTCATGAAGTAAATTTTTTTTAAAAACTTATTTGTAACACAACTTTCTGACCATCAAAAGAATTGAGAGGAGGGAAAAAAAACTATGAGGACCCTTTGGTGGTGTTCATACTCAGATGGAGATGTGAAAGCTTGAAAGGGGTCAAAGAAAAGACCAGAATTCAAGTATTATAACTTCTAAGTCAAGGGCATTTCCATTAAATAAGATACATAACACTATTAAGCTTCCACATTGAAGACAATTATTTATTAAAGTGAATTGTTCCTGGATTCTTTTTTTTTTGCCAGTCCTGTGGCTTGAACTCTGGTCCTGGGTGCTGTCCCTAAGCAACTTTTGCTCAAGACTAGCAATCTACCACTTGAGCCACAGCAACATTTCTGGCTTTTTCTGTGATTAATTGGAGATAAGGGTCTCACAGACTTTCTTGGCAAAGCTGGCTTGGAACCATGATACACAAATCTCAGCCTCCTGAGCAGCTAGATTATAGGCATGAGCCACTGGTACCTGAGAAACGCAGGTTTTAAGAAACTATCAACCTGTTGCAAACACCAACTTCCCAGTCATGTTGGAAATAGACTGCTGATGGTGTTAGAAATATATACAAGTATGTCATGAGGTCCTTCCAAAATATTTTCTTTAGGCCATGATGTACAAATCAGTCTGGGATAAATAGGAATGTCCTACTGGTCAGTATTTCCAGGGCCCTATTCTAAGTTTTCTGACCATCACATAAGCTTAGCAATTGCTTTTACTTAAGTCTGTCTGTATTAGATTAAGGAGAAAATTTAAAAGAGTTGCCAAACACTTTGTTCCTAACTTTACCTTTACTTACATTAAGCTCAAATTCTATTTCAAGAACCACAGTAAGACTTTGGCATTTCTGAATAAGTGATCATCACTGTCAGAGATCAAAGATAGTAACTCAAAGGCTTGGTCATGTTTTGGTGTCAGTTTTACCTTTACTGTGTGCTGAAAGAATTAACTTGAACATATTAATAGGTAACAAAAGTAATCCACTTGGAAGTGGATGTGAGTTACCCTTTACTTCATCCTCTGGCACACCATTCATTTCCAAAGAAGACTAGACCATGCTATAACATTCCATTATGTATAGCATCAGAAAAAATATAAAGGACTTATAAAATCAAATTGATCATAAAAGAGGAAAGTTTAAGAGTTTGACAATTGCTTACCTAGCCTTCTGACTCCTATGACATACTACTCATTTTTATTCTCATTTATAAGTAAAATAAGCACAGCATGTAAATATTTATAAGAAAATAAATTTTTATAATCCCAACACATCAACTCAAGCATTGTTAATATCACAGAATATTCTCCTCAATTATTTTCATGTGATTATTATTATTATTATTATTATTGTCAGTTGTGGGGCTTGAACTCTGGGCCTGGGCGCTGTCCCTCAGCTTTTCAGCTCAAGGCAAGCACTCTACCACTTCCGATTTTCTGGTGGTTTATTGGAGATAATACTCTCATGGACTTTTCCTGCCCGGGCTGGCTTTGAACCGCAATCCTCAGATCTCAGTCTCCTGAGTAGCTAGGATTAGAGATGTGAGCCACCAGCACCCAGCTCCATGTGATTTTTACCAAGCAATGAAATACTAATGCACACATAATTTAGGATGACGCATTATATTTATTATAAGCATCTTCTCCATTTTGTGGCATAAAATCCATAACAAACAGTGCAATGGTTATAATAGCCCACTAAAAGAAATGTGTCAAATTTTACTTACCTATTTTATTAAAGCAACTTCCAACCTTGTTCTAGTCTAAATAGTCTTCAAATATTTTAAAAATGTCTTTGTGATTTGGTGATTTATCTTTTTTCACTATTTTGAATTGTTTCATAGTGATAGAATCCAACAACTAAAATTAATTGTTCAAGCAATATGAATATTTTTGAAAGCTACCAAAAATAAAACTAACGCCAAAGCTCCAAGAAATCTATCTCTCATGTCGTTAAAAGTTCCCATGCTCCCATATTCCACCATGGCTGAGCAGGGCTCAGAGGATGGAGAGAAGCCAGAGAAGCAGTCAGTGTAGTATCCTAGTGACTTGCGAAATGGCAGAGTGGAATGTAGGCTCCCCTGTGAATCTAGCTTGCATGCACTTGCCCCAAATTGCTACATGGCCAAGAAGCTAATTAGTAAAGGCATCAGGTGGGTGAGAACAGGTTCATGGCCTGTAATAGCTTATATCATCTTTCATTTTTGCCCTTGGAAAGATCTGACAGTCAGCTTGAAGACATTCAGTTCTAGTCACCCAAGCTGCTACATTCTGAGAACCAAATTTGTTCGTTTTCAGATCTCAAACTTCAATATGTCCTAAAGGGCATTTTTGCTGTGTAGAACCAAATACACATGAGCAATAAGCCTGCATGCTTATCTGTATTTGAAGTCTCATTTAAGGTGACACTTTAAGGTTAGTCCTGTTTAAAAGTATTAATAAGTGTTGCCTATCTTAAAATGTATTACAGAGATTTATTTGCAGACTAGACAATTAAAGGCATCTACTCCTGAGTCAGGAAAGGCTGCAGGCCAGTTGCCCTTGGCTTACTAAGAGCAAATACGATGAGCATTTCTTTCTTTCATTTCATTTCAAAAGCTCTCAGAAAAGTACAGTTCTGTTTTCCACATACCCCTTGATGATTTTTCTCTAATGCTTCTGCATTAACCACTATACTCAATAGGGAATGAGGCTTTATACATATCTTCATTACTATACTGATCACAGCATATTTTCTACAGACATTTAGTGAGCACTTACTGTATCCAAACACTGTGCTAGGTAAGCCCTGAGGGAGGAAAAAAACAACAAAGAAAACAGAGGCCAGTCCTTCAAATAGCTCCTGGGCAAGCCTCGTTGGTGCAATTTAATGAGAAAACACATGTATGATGAACAGATATCTGTGGTAACAATGAGTACTGTAACACACAGAATGAGCTCATTAGCATATGTGTACCAGCTGAGGTCAAAAGACATACAATGAGTAAAGATAGACCACAACCATGCATGAAACTAAGGAGGAGCCACTGAAAAAAGTTACCATTCACTGACCAGGCACTTTGGAAATGTGAAATGTCAAAGAAATTCCATTTATTGCATTGCTTATCCCCCATATAGCTTCAATATAGATCTTGCTCCAGAGATGGATACTCATCCACAAGGCAGAGAAAGAAGCTAATTCTCTCATTTACAATTCTAAAGGTCAGGAAGAAATTGAGTTAAATTTGAAATGCAAGTGGAACTTGCTAGACTATGATCATAGAGATTATGGGCTGGGTGTATGACTTTTTTCACTGTGTGTGTCCCAACACTTAAAATGCTTACTGGTACATACAAGGTACTTAACAACTGCCTAATGAGAGAATAACTTCTCAGAGATTTTGCTAGGTGCAACAGCAGAAAGAAAAAAAATTGAAGACATAAAATAATAATAATAAATAATAATTATTATTATTACCTTTATTTCTCAGCCTTCCAAGGAGTCAAAAGCTCTTTCACTTCTGTTATCCCTCTCAGCAGTTGTGTGCTGAAATAAAGATATGGTTAATTCCATTTTACAACTAGAGAAGTTCAAGTCTGGAACAGTAACATTAACTAATTTGTTCACTTTCACTTATTGCTCTCTGGTAGGAGCAGCATCAAAACCCAGGTCTTGTGACTTTCTACCCTGTGTTTTACTGTAATACAAAACCGTCCACAAATTATCTCTCTGATTTTTATTAAGTCAGTTCACAAGAGGACTTTGCCCAAAAAGCCAAACCCTCTCTCAGCACTGCAACAGTACCTTGAGCAAGTGGGTGCAGTATAACTTAAAAGAAAATACCTGTCATTTTTCCAAGCCAACACAGGTCAGAAAGCTACAGATAATTCCCAGGGACTTCCACTAACAATTTGTAGCTCCTTGTTTTGCCATAACCCTTTTGAAGTAAGCCTTTCAGCCTCCACTCCAGTTTTGTGTCTGAGAGTAGCTCAGGTGCTGACTGCAGGTGTGGCACCCAGCAGGTGCATGGACAGAAGCCAGCATTTTATATCTTCATGCCAAAGAGTCTGAGTCACTCTTCCAAGGCAGAAACATCCCCTCCTGCTGCTGCTGGTCTATTTGCAAGTATGGTAGCCTGATTTGACTGAATTACCATTACATAACTGAATCTAGACCCTATCTTCCCACAAAAGACTAGGGTGATGTTGGCTAAGCCATAAATCCTATCACCCAGCCAACTTGCCCACTTGCAGAAACTTGCAGGCATGCAATGGGATAGCATCAAGGAATAGGATTATACAGATTGTCCATCAGTATAATTAGTTACAGAAAAAAGGAGGATTTCTGCAGGCCCACATCTATATGCTGTGGCAGAACATCTAGTCTACTACATCTCTGAAACATCAAAAGCCAGTCTTCATCCTCCTAAAATGATGGAATACAATATAAAAAACGTGCTTAGAAGCTTGTGCAATACTCCCAGCACATCTCCTTCTCCTTCAGACTAACCAGGGAGAAGAGTTTAGCCTGTTCATAAAAAAGGCACCAGGTCAGAAAATCCATGACATTTCTTTAATTTAAGCCTAACTGGGAGCCTAGGGCAGAAAAAGAAATGCACTTGGAGGCAAAGGAGGTCAAGGAGTCATCAATATTTTCTTAGCTTCCCAAATTATTTACTTAAAAAAAATAGACCTCCTCAATCCATCCATCCATAGCTACACCTCAGAGCAATGGGAAAATATAAAAAGAAAGTCAAATATTATCTTAATAAAATGGCTTATTATGATTCACTATTTCTCCAATTCACAAGGAAAATGCAAATCAGTGTACTATTGCTTATAGCTCATGATGTAGAAAAGAAAACTGGCAAGTAAATGAAAATATGATTATTGTATATAAAGGAAATAGAAAATTTAAATGTATATAAACAGGAAATTAGATTTCTTCAAAATAATTTTCCCCATCTGTGATTTTGGTCATAATTGCTATCACATAGAAAAAAATGTCACTAATTCTTCGCAAACCCATGCCCTTTAAAAAAACAACTAAAATGAATAAGGGATACACTAATTAGCTTCTTAATGCAGATGGTTTTAATTGAACTACTCTATAACAACCTTCATCAAAGTTTCCAGGGCAACTTCATATAAGGATATCAAACCTGGCCCATATTTTTATTCCTTAAAAATTATTTGCAGTAAAGAGAAACACAGAAAACTGATTTCTTTTCAAAACTGTTAACATTCAGGCCACTACATTTTCTGATGTCAGCAATCCCCTTCCCACAAATATTCCAAGTATGCACCACCGTCATTCTCCTTTCAATTATGTGGTTTCTCTGCTCCTCTACTGATTGAGCCCAGGCCTCTTGGATAATGAGAAGCATGTGCAAGGAAAATATGCTCTTAAAAAACACATACATCAGTTTCATCTGAATTATAAAGGAGGAGCCCATCATTTGTCCCTATCAAAAGGATCAAAATGTAAAGTTTGTTATGGGATATTGTAAGGGAAAACCAGATCAGCATCAATGATGAAGGGGGGGCAGATATTTGATCTGAAGAAATGTCAATAAAAATAAAAGGATCTCTTCTCCCCTCCCCTCCCCAACCCCCGGCCCAGTTCACCCTTTCTAGCAAGGCCACATTTATATTTAATGTTATCTTAATGTTGCCTTGGGGGGTATTTAAGTTCTGACATATGCATGGAAATGAGCCATGAATTGTGCAGCAAGCATAAATATCTCATCATTAATAGAAACCAGCTGTGCAAAAAACATTACAATGGCCAAGTTTCAGTTATTGTCAGTATTTGTCACAAGCAAATACTACTTAAAACTTTCTCCCTTAAAATGTGGACATAGAAATTTGCTTGACTCAGTAACATTAACTTCACTAATTACAGTTAAAGTTAATTTTAATCACCCTGGAAGTCGCTAGAATTCTTTTATAACTCATCACAAAATATGAAAAAAGTTTATTTTATTTCAAAAAGCTGAGTGGGTCAATAATGCAAATGTAGGGTCCATATTAATTATAGTCAGCAAGGCAATGGGCACCATAGGGCATTGTATGTTATAAGCAAGTAAAGCTCATTAAAAGTGAACACCTGCTCAGGACCCTATAATAAGCCTGCTCTGCCATCATGCAAACACCTTTCATCCAATGACCTCAAAGCATGTGTTCAATATGAAGCATGCCGAAACACCTCTGCAAAGTATTAATATCCTTGCTTCCCAGAAGGGTAACTGAAGCTTAGAGCAGCTAATTCAGCTACCCTTGGTCACATGGCAAGTCAGAGAGGGGCTGGGCAAAGAAATCCAGCTCCTGGCTTCAAGTCACACAGTCTAATGCCATCTAATGGAGCTGAATCAAGAGTGAAAGTGACTTTACAAATGTCAAAAAAAGTTTGTAAAGTTTTTGAAATGGTAGGGTTTTGTTTTTGTTTTTGCAAGAATTGCCTTTGGGAAAGCACATTGGTATGGCCACCTATATTTTCCCATCTGTAAACTCATTATAGATATAGATATAGATATATAGTTTTATGTATCTATCTATATAGATAGATACATAAAACTATATATCTATATCTATGGGCAGCAAGGTTTTTTTGGATATTTTTGTCAGTCATAGGGCTTGAACTCTGGGCCTGGGCACTGTCCCTCAGCTCTTCAGCTCAAGACAAGCACTCTGCCACTTGAGCCACAGTGCCACTTATAGTTTTCTGGTGGGTAATTGGAGGCACAAGTGGTTTTTTCTTTCTTGCTATTGTTTTTAACGTACTTATAATGTACTATGTGATGTTTTTTGTTTCTCTTGTATGTTCCTCCCCCACGTTATAACCCCTGTTGTCACCGTATTTGATTCCGGTGTCCTGCATCTTGTATATGCATTTTTATAATTTGGAGAGGGAAAGGGAAATAACAAAATGCTTAAATAAGGATACAGGTTGACCCATTGTAACAATGAGATGTACAAGACACTATGTTGAAAATGAACTTTACAGCTTTTGGGGGCAGGGAGGGAGGAGTTGGGAGGTGGGGAGGGAAGAGAGGGGAAGGGAAAAACAAAGGAAGAAGTAACAAAATGCTCAATAGGAAATGTACTCATTACCTTAATCATGTAACTGTAACCCCTCTGTACAGTATTTTTTACAATAAAAAACATATTTTAAAAAAAAAGAGTATCATGGACTTTCCAGCCCAGGCTGGCTTTGAACTGCAATCCTCAGATCTCAGCCTCCTGAGTAGCTAGGATTACAGGCATGAGCCACCAGCACCCAGCAAATTTTTTTTTGTTTGTTTTTTGGTCCGGTCATGGGACCTGAACTCTGGGCCTGGGTACTGTCCCTCAGCTCTACAGCTCAAGGCTAGTGCTCTACCACTCTTGAGACACAGCGCCACTCTGGCTTTTTTCTTTTTTGCTTATGTGGTGCTGAGGAATAGAACCCAGGGCCTCATGCATGCAAGGCAAGCGCTCTACCACTGAGCCACCTTCCCACCCCATAAGTTTTTTATATGATTATTAAAAAACCTTGTTGCCCTCTTTCTTCTGTTTATTTATATATAATATATTATGTATACTATATATACTTATATATAATACTTATATATAATATATATAACATATAAAAATCTTTCCTGTCCATGTTTCTTTGGATTATCTTAATATATATTGAATTACAGGATTCTTTTCTATAAATTGAAGTATTTTATCTATAAAATTTTTCAAAATTTCTTTGAGATGGAATTTTTTAATTTTGATACATTAAAATGATCAATTTCTTAACCTAAATGACTTTGGTTTTCTTACTAAAAATGAATCTTACTTAACCTTAAATAGACAATAGACATACTTGATACATACCATTCTCATAAAAAGAATAGCCTCTGTTACTATCAGCAAAGAAATTCACCTGCATTTTTACCATGAGCACATACTATAAGAAATATTAACAGCTGGCCACGAGTGGCTCACATATTTAATACGAGCTACTCAGAAGGCTGAGATATGATGATCAGGGTTTGAAGCCAGCCTGACCTGGGCAAGTCTATTAGAGACTCTTATCTCCAATTAACCACCCAAAAAGCCAGAGTTAGAGTTGTGGCTCAAGTGGTAGAGCACTAGCCTTGAGTAAAAAATGCTCAGGGATAGTGCCTAACCCTTGAGTTCAAGCACCATGACCAACAAAAACAAAACAAAAACCATTCCTACAAAGATCCACTGCTTTGAGAAAAGAATCCATCAAAATTGAAAATTACATGTCATGTACATCTTTATCAAAGGAAAACTGAAGGTCTATAGAACTTTATCTTAACAACTTGTTCAATCTCTCAAATGAAGAACCTATTTATGTGGACCACTAGGGCTTTTACATGTTTTATATTTAATTGACTCCACACCTTGGTCATCTTACTGTTTTTGCAGTCTGATTTATACATTTTCTTTTTTTTTTTTGGGGGGGGGGTCCGGTCATGGGGCCTGAACTCTGGGCCTGGGCGCTGTCCCTCAGCTCTTCAGCTCAAGGCTAGCGCTCTACCACTTGAGCCACAGAGCCACTTCCAGCTTTTTTCTTTTTGCTTATGTGGTGCTGGGGAATCGAACCCAGGGCCTCATGCATGCAAGGCAAGTGCTCTACCACTGAGCCACCTCCACAGCCCCATGATTTATACATATTCTTTATGAAACTCTAAAACAAATTTATTACCTTCCTGCTTCTCTGTTCTCATTCTAGAAATTTCACAATCCATACAAATTTATATTTTCCTGATAGGATATCATGATACAGTTACATAAAAATCATTTCCACCAATTTAGACAAAATAAACAGAACTAGTTTTTGAATTTTTTTCTTTTTGCATGTAAAGAATGAAGAACGATAAAGGGAATTTAAGAGAATGGGATTAACAACCTTCTAGATACATAAATAACAAAGTGTTTAGGGATTACTTATAGTCTTTAAATCTAATATTCTTTGTGTTTAAGAAACAAAATCTATGGGATCCTTCATACAATCTTGATTAAGTTCTGCCTTCATTCCTCCATACTAGTCTACAAAGTTATGTCTTAGGTGAGTTGTTATTTAAAATATGGCATGTTTTAAAATTCTTATATGCATATTTATATATGTCATATATACTATGTAAAATTCACATTGTTACAGGAACCAACATTCACACACCTGTAAATCCTAGCTATTCAAGAGGCTGAGATCTGAGGGTCCCAGGTCTAAGCAAGCCAGGGGCAGATGGGGGCAGTAATGTCTGGAACAGAAAAGTCTAATTAACCATCAAAAGGCCAAAGGTGTCACTCTGATGGTGCATAAATGGACACATGCACAGTGTGTAAATGGACACATTAAATTGTAAACCCCTTGTACAATGCTTTGAAGATTAAAAAACATTTTTAAGTCAAAAGTGTAGGTGTGGCTCAAGCAGTAGTGCCTTAGCCTTGATTTTAAAAGCCAAGTAAGTGTGCAAAGCCCTGAGTAAATGCACACATTTTTTAATGAAAGAAACTAGAAAACATGAATGAAATTTTTTACGGGGTTTCCAACAATCTTAGCTTTTTTATTTTGATACTAAAATATAAACATAACACATTTCTATTCATATATCTTTACAGGCTCTGTACAGGATAACTACATATTTGTATTTCTAACCACCAATGTACCTTATTCTAGTAGTAATCATTCATATTCGTACCAGATATCAAAGCTTAGAAAGAGAACCATAAAATTTTGAGAACAGGCTCTCAAAATCACCCTGCCCAACCTGCACAATTTATATTGGAAGGAACTTTGCCAAGTGTGGTAAACCAAGTTAGAGCTGGGCCTATAGCCCAGGTTCCTTTCACCAATAGGCCCACTCAGAAAACTTATCATAGATTCTTAGATTTAAAATAACATCAGTTGTCATTATTTACTGAACAAAATTTTCTGGATCCTTGGGTTAGTCAACTATAATAACTAGAAATAAAACACTTTACCTAAATTAGGTAGGTATTCCCATCCTTACATTTATTCTCTTAAAAACTAATACCAGCTCCCTCCTACAAGTACTTGTGAGCCAAGGCAAACATGGCCAGTATTATTATAAGCCAGAACTGATTTAGACAATTAACTTTATCCCATGTAACAAAAAAACATTAAAAGCCAAATAATGTCCTCATTTAATTCAAGCAATAATCATGGCAATACATCCTATTTTTGCAATAGAATTCTTTCAATAAATGTGTTCCTGAAAAAGCCCAGTTCAAAAAAATTTTAAGTCAGATTAAAGGCTCCAACTAGAAAAACTAGTTCTTTGAGACAGACCTGTTGCGGATTCTTTTATAAAGCAAATCACCTATTTTCTTTATCTTTTCTCTTTTTCTTACTTTTTTTTGTTTAGATTGTGTGTGTTTGTTGTATGTGGAGCTGGCAACTTCCCTCCTTTCTCTGGGTTAAAAAGAGTCAAAAGCCCACCATGGAGGAGAGTCATGCAGTATGGTCAGTCTCTTTAATGTCCTCTTAGTTTCTGGGACCAGACTCTAACCTTTGACTTGGACCAAAGTCCACAAAAGGCAGCAATGAATGAAAAGTAAGTAAGACTAAAGACAACACATCATAGTAAAACACCAACAAAAAAACCTGGGGACAGGAAATCAATAGATCACAATTCTAAACAAATTGGTTTAGTCCTCAGCTAATTAACTTATCAAGCCAATCTTTAAATGCACTGAATCTATAGGAGAAAGAGATGATGTAATAGGAGATTTGGAAACATTTAGCCATTTACTATCCTAAAAGGCTCAGCCACAACCACACACACCTCTCTCCACCCCTTTCAGGGGGTTTAAGCTGGCCTTAATGGGTGCAAAGGACAATTTCTACCAAGGCAGTCTCAAAGAATAAACCATTCTCATGCATTCCAAATGTTCAGTCTCCATGGAAGAGGCTACCTGGCCACAAGCATTTCCCAAGTAGAAATATAGTCTTCATGGGTAATACTCCCCCACACTGTTACCCCAAATAAAAAAAAAATTTCTAACCATCCTGAGGACTTTGGGGAAATTTTCTGGGGTAAAGGAAAATAAATGTTAAGAAGGAACCAGGAGAGTGTGAGAAACTCCTGTTTCCAAATGGAAAACAAGGCCTTAAAAGCTGGATCAAAGGAAGAAAGGGGGATGGGGAAGACAAGCTGCTTAATTACAAAGACACCCTTTTAAAAGAGACACAGGCCCTGGGAGAGGGCTCTTAGGAGAGGCCCAGAAGCAGATGTACCCACTTAGAATTCTGGTACTAGATGGCACCTCAAAGTCACAGCATCCATCCCTTTACCTTCCCTTGCTATTAGAAGATTCTTAAAACATTCTAGAAAAGCGTGCTTCATTCTTTACAAATCTCCAGGAAAAGCAATTCTCCAAAATACTCTATGCCTTAGGCTAATAAAAACTACTTCATAAATTAAAAAATTAGATTTTAAGGTCCAAATTCCAAACAATATTGAATATACATTTTTTTATATTCCCTTTCTCTTACTGTTTTCATAAACAGATCCACAATGTCCACACAAAAGTTACTCTACATTTAAGAATGGTAACGGGTTTACTTCACATCTAGAGTGTAAAGAGAAGAAAAGTACTTCGAATTTTAGAGACATAAATGTTTCCAAAGAAAGAAGTAACTTAAAATGACGTATGATGTAGGGCCAGAAAGTGTCTGTAAATGACACCCGGGTAAACCCATACAGAATAGCTGGAACCTGAGTTATCATCTGTAAATAGATGCGACTACTCTACAACCACCTGGCTATTAAAATGTCCCAGGCCAGTTTTAAAATGTAGTTTGGTCAGGCCATATTTTCACTCCCAGCTGATCTAAAGCATGATAGCCTTTAAATTTTTCACCATATATTGTTCCTTTCCTACCTTCCTGCTTTCTCTTTCCCTATTAAATATAAACTAAAGAAATTATTTGAAAATATAAGTACATAATTTGTTCCTTAAGAAATGTAAAGGGTTAGGGGGAGAGTAATCTCAGCAATACATCTTTGAACACCATCATTCTAACAAGCTTGAGGCATTTATCCAATCGAAGATATGTGGGAGATGGGTAGAAATGTATTCCATGTTCAAAATGGCATTTCGGACTATTCTTAGCTACTAAATGAGGGTACTGAAAGGTCTAACTTAGGAGGCCTCACAAAAGCTGGCCTGGGAAGGAACTTCTCACAAAGCCTAGCTCAAGGAGACTTAAATACCCTTAGCCCTTCATCACTGAAGATTATGGTGAGCAATTAGCTTCTCTGAATGGGAGGTTATATTCATAAAAGTTTTAAACTGTTTCCAATGTCCACTCCTTATGGGAAGGAAAGACAAGGACTGAACTAAACCCCCCAAGTCAGAATATTCTTGCCAAAATACATGTGGGAAATTGAAAATGCTTTCTCACAAATTTCCTTTGAGCAACCTGTCCCGCGCACGCTCTCCTCCACCCCTTAGTTAATTTAGTATCTTCCTGCAAATTATTAGTTTATTATTAATGGCAATTCACCAAGGACTACTCACAGTCTGTAAAGATTGTCAGCTTCTATCCCAGTTTTCTTTCCTTCATTTTCATAGATCCATGAAGTCTGTGTTACTGTTAAAAGCAGCAACAAGTGCTTGAACTCTCAAGACACCTGCGTGATCTTCCAAAGGGTCTCACATCTTCGGGTTTTATAATGCAAATAAGGCAGCCCTACCACCACACAAGCACGTACAAGAGTAGTAGCATTGTAGACTAATCTCAGACTTTAAAACTTCAAGAATTCACGGCCTCGGGGTGAAAGAGAGTGAGCTCCCACCTCAGTACGTGCATTCTTAAGAGAAAGCTGTTAGATAAGTAGCCATACCTAGGGGCTAGGTAGACACCGGCTTCCCTTTCGTCTTTAGTTCAAGTAATACATAGAGACCTAGAAGGACCCCTGGAGGTAAGAAAATACCACCGTAGTGGTTTGGTCCAGCGTCTCTCCAAGTGAGACTGAAGAGCAGCGCATACTCTTTTAACAGATTTAATTCGCTGCACATCCCGGAAAACGCACGGCCGGCTGCAAAGAAAGTATAACTCACGGGCATCCAACCCACATGCATCTAGACCAGTTCAGTCACGCCAAGTGTATGATCAAGTTCGCACCAGCACCACGGATCCCTGCCCCACTTCCCCGCAAAAAGTAACCACGCATCTCCTACCCCTGAAGGCAACGAAGACAAGGTACCAGGCTCAAGTGGTTGTGGTTCCGAGCTAGCGGCCAGGGATGGGCAGTGGGGAGAGCCCCAGCTCCCGGCTGCTACCTCCTCGCTGCTCTGTCCGGGTTCTCCTTGGTGGCAGCGGACAGGCTGACTATGGGGCCAGAGGGTGGAGCAGCGAGCGGGTGGTGAGAGGAGAGACAGAAGGGAGGTGGTGGTAGTGGGGCGGGGGATGAGACCTCAGAGAAGGCGAAAGAGAGTGAGCAGAGAAGGAGAAGTTAACTCAGGGATCTACCAGTGTAAGCAGCCCGAAAGGTCCTAGGAAGGAAGGGGCGTGACTGCGAAGAAGGCAGCTCCAGAGCAAAGGATGAGAGGTAGGGGAGGGGGAGGAATGGGTGGCTTTTCTTCTTGCGGTGAGCAGCTAGGACCGCCCAGAAAAAGGGGTGGACTATGGAGGGAGGTGGAGCGAGAAGAGGGCGGGGAAAGAAGGGCGGCAGCCTGCCGCGACCCTGGAAGGGAGGGGGACGGGCGGGGAAGAAAGGCGGGGCTCGGGGGCGGGGAAGTTTCAAACAATTGAACGGCGGGGTCCAGGAGCTAGGGCAAAAGCTGGGAGCCCTAGCTCTTATCCTACCACTGGTAAGACACGACCTGATTATGGCAGCCCAGAATCTTACCTAGGCATTCGCCTGGAAAAAGGAAGAGGGTTTGCAAAGACTACAAGAATAATCGACAGCAACTGCGTAGCCAAGCTGCGTGGGAGAGCCTGTGAAGCCAACCGCCCTGCGGCGAGAGGAAGAAAAACAAATAATAGAAATGCTGAAAAGCAGCTTCGACCAAATCCTGCTTAAAATAATTCAGGAAGGAGCAGTGCTCCTTTTTCCTTCCCCTCTTGCTTCCTTTTACCAGCAGGCCCCCACCCAGGTCACAGCTCTGCGTGACACCCTCCTTTCTTCCTTTGCTGCCCCAGCCCCCCCGCCCCGTTTCTTACCCCTTCTTTGCCCTCCTCCAGTCAACCCAGGGCTCTAGACCACCTCCTGCTGGCAGGCCTCGCGGACGGGGGTGGAAGGCGGGCGGAGCTTCATGCAAGACGCTCCTCCTCCTGGGAGGGCTGGAAGTGTTTGGCTGGGCGGAGCGAGCTCAGCAGTATAAGCCCCACCCACATTTTCTTTTCTTTCTTTGTTTTTTTTTTTTTTAATTGCGACTACGAATTGGCCGGTGCTAGCCTGGAGTTCGCCTGCGATTGGTCCCTTGAGTCGCCAATACGATCCTTTTGTCCCACCCGCCTTCAAAATTAATAAAACTAAACAAGAGACTATTGTCTAGCTCTGTTCTCCCCAAGCTGCTGCTGGGAATAGAAAGATGAGACGCTTGATTTCTTAGACTCTTAAAAGAGTGAGACAGTGTGTCGGAGACTCTGGTACACCTTTACTTTTGTAGCACTGTCCAGCCCTTTGGGAATAGGTAACTTTTCCCTCTAAATTTGTAAAACCAGGAGGGGAAAAGTGCACGAAGTGCCCACATTTCCTGTCTGCCAAAAAACTGATGTTGCTTAAAAACACGGAAGGTTGAGTAGAACAGCATCCTGGGACACAGAAAAATCTACCATTTTACATTTGTAAAAACGAAAGCACAAAGAAGCAGTGTATGGGTAACAAAATAACATGGAATTTGGAACCAAAGGAAGAATTCATTGTGGGCCCTGGCACTTATTAGCTAACGACTTTTAAGTGGCTTGACTTCTCAGCTCTAATTTTCCTATCTGTAAATAAATGCTATAAGACATGCCATATTAACTTAATGACACTGGTGTGGAAATAAAAGGAAACTTGTAAACTGTAAATCACAAAACAGTCCATACATCTATCTGTTCTACTTGTGTGTGACACACAGTGCATAGTTTCACGAATTTGAGAATCAAAATATTCCACTCATCTGTTTTAAACATGTATATCCAAGATTGTGTAGGGTTTCTGGCTTTCTTTTTTAATGTCAACACTTTGCCTCAAGTTTTTTTTTGGGGGGGAGTTATGAAATTGGCTCCAGGATTTTAGAATAATAAATTACTCCCTTTCTAACCACGGTGGGTGAGGTTTTTCTTTTTCATATGGCTTTGCAATTGTGCCACAATCTAAATCTATTGTGGTACTGGTATTGAAAGAGGAAATCATGCAGCATATTTCCAAAGTGAACTTGAGAAAACAAATATGAGGGAACATTTTCCATGGAAACTACTATTCTCTACAGATCTGTATTCCCTAGAAAACAGTTTGAAGCAAGACTAAATGTAAAGGCCTTGTCAACAGAGCTATTATCATGAATTCAAGTCAGTGGAAGAGTAATCCATCTCAAGCCTACCAAACATGGAGCTTTCCAAGGAATCAAGGCATGCTAGAGGAAGGGTGCCCAAATGAAACAGCATCTATGGAGAGCAGAGTCTCAGAATAACACAGGAAGCATGGTGGGTGGATGGCTTCTTATGGAGTGCACAGTATACTCTAGCTAGGTGCTGCTGATTCAGAAGTAGAACATTGGAAATTGGATTTGGAATATGAGTTGCTTTATGTATGAAATGAGGCTATCTGGGTGAGTTTTCATAAGAAGGTGATGGTATCTGGGTGAGTTTTCATAAGGAAGGTGATTTTTTTCCTGAATTTTTCAATATTTAGGACGTGGACACATCTGATTTATGAAGCAAGATTATTCCAGGCTTGTTATTTGGAGACATGGGAATGAGATAGCCAGACACTGGTGGCTCACGCCTGTAATCCTACTGAGAAAGTTGAGATCTCAGTGTGGTTCAAAGCCAGTCTTGGGAAGGAAAATCCAATTAACAATTAAAAAGAAGCCAGAAGTGAAGTTGTGGCTCAAGTGGAAGAGTGTTAGACTTGAGCAAAAAAAGAAAAAAAGAAAGTCCAAGTTCCACGACAGGGAGGCACTGGTTCAACACACACACATACACACACACACACACATACACACACACACACATACACACACACACACAGAGGAGACCTAGAGATGGTAGTAATAGTTTCAAGAATCACTGAGATTGGGATGGGTTGTTAAAATCAATAATGCTGTTAAAATGAAAATAGTACAATATGCACATGGTAAAGCAACATTAGAACTGTACTAAAAGTACAGAATCAAGTTTCTCCCCACCATTCTACTTGCCTTTTGGTGCCTTATAACCAGCACATGCATTTGGTTTACTCTAAAGTGTGTCTTAATGTTCTTCTAGCTCCATATAGCTACCTCTTTTTCATGTTAAGTCAGGATTTCATTGCAAAGATGAACAAAAATTATTTTACTCATTTTCTCCTTAAGAGGATATTTAGGCTATTTCTCATCATATGTCACTACAGGAGATGCTAGCAAAAAACTGGTAGCAAAGGGCTTTTAATTATGTCAGTAATATGCCTACCCTTAGCTTTAAATTAGGTTCTCGCAACAAACTTTCCTATATGCCTTTCCCATAGGAGTCCATTGTGAAAACCCCTAAAATCAACTTTTTCAACATCCCTTTCTCAAACACTGCCTAGAGGCATGCTGCTTTAGCATATGCAAATTTTGATACAGAACAAGGCTGTGTGAATCACTTCTTAGTCTGTAGCAAACAATAGATTTTTGGGTGCCCCAATTTTTTTCCCAGTCTTCCAAGTGTCTTAGACATTCCTTCTCTCCTGCCATGCTAGACTTCCTGTGTTTTTACCTTGAAAACCTCTCAGTTTGTTTAACTGAGTTTCAATTTAAAGCTATGCGTTGCCTACACTAGTTAAAAGGGCAGGAGTGGGAGGGGGTGGCTAACATCAACAAACATCACTGAACTGTTATTATGGACAGGACTGAAACAACAAAGAAGTAAGAGACTTGGCTCTTGCCTTCCAGGATATATACATAAAAAGACAACTAACAAGCATATTCTAAGTGCTAAATGAATGGTATTGACAGTAAAAGCTGTGGAAGTTAAGAGCAAGGAGTGAAAACTAGTTCCAGAGCGTGAGTTTGTACAACAAAATATGCCACACACATTTAACTAATCCCCACAGCATCCCTATGTCTTCACGTCCTGACTATAAAATATGGAAAGCCCTCTGGGGGATACCAGGAGAATTAACCACTAGCTGCAAAACACCTGTGTAAAGACAGTGGGATGCTTAAGTACTGCATGTTAATATTCCCCATATAACCATATGAAAAAAAAGGATCATTTTCAGCTTAGAACTCAAGATTCTCTTAGACTACCTGTCTTGTTTGATCTTTTATCATAAAATAATAAAAATCAATGTCTTCTCTCTAAAAGTCTACTTTTTAAAAACAAATGTCTGCCTTTTACATGTAAAATAAACACGACTGAAAAGGACAAATATATGATTTCACTTATGAGGGACATTCTTAGAGACAGAAAGTACAGTTTATAAGATCTAAGGTTGGGAGAAGGGGAATGGAAGATAGTTTTTAATAGGGTTAGTTTCTTTTTTTCCTTTTGTGGCAGTATTGGATTTGAATTCAGGGCCTGTGTACTGTTTCTTAGTTTTTTTTACTGAAGGCTCATGCTCTAGCACTTGAATCACAGCTCCACTTCTGGCCTTTTGGTGGTAAGAGTCTTATGGATTTTCCTGCCTGGCCTGACTTCAAAGTGTTATCTTCAGATCACAGTCTCTTGAGTAGCTAGGATTATAGGGAAGAACCACTGGCTCCTGGCTAAGGACAATTTCTGTTTGAGATGATGAAAAACTTTGTAAACATAATAGTGATGGTTGCACGACATTGTAAATGTAATTAAAGTCAATACCACTGATGAGAACTACCAATAAATTGAAGACAAGACCCCTGGGAAGAGAAACAACCTGATCATCACCACACAGGCCCATGCAACCAAAACTTCTTTTTTTTCTGTTCAATGTTACAAAACTTTATTGTGAAAACAAAACACATGTAAGCTAAAATTAAAAATTATAGCTACTTTCACCACACAAAACTTGATATTTTAGCAAAAACTGAAATTCACCTTTTCTTTTTTTACAAAAATGACATAATTTAGATTTTAGTTAAGTTAGGAATATCTTATATTGACCATGAGCATATTGGCTTATCCAGTACATGAGGTATTCTATAATTCCAGTATAGGAGTTATTGTATAATTCTAGTATATTAGGTATTCTATATTAGGTATCCAGTAACACTATCAGTTGCAAAACTTTTATTTTTTAAAAGAGAAACTAGAAATCAAATACATTTAATGTGACATCTTCTAGTTTTAAATTTTGGCAACTACTAAACGTCTTAAAGAAAAGAAATCTGCCCTT